AGTACTTTGAACTTTGCAGAAAACCTACATTCAATTATCATCTGCGGTCTGAGCTATATGTTATCATTTAAATATTTAGATTCTAGATAGAGGAGAATGAATAAGTAAAATTCATGTACTTTCCTGTAGCCATTAATTTTTATGAAAATTTTACTGGTCAAGGTTCACATTTCAGGTGAGATTTATTCTAAACAACTTAAAGATGAGTAAGCAAATTTTGGTTAGCTCATTAGAGTAGTTTTAAAGTGCACCCAAATAATCAACTCAGCTGTTTGGTACATTGTTTGTGCAATAAAGTCACCCAAACACGAGCTGCATTTTCGTATTTTACAAGCGCCGAAACATTAAATCAAACTCATCGAAGTGGCACCCAAGCCTTGACTATTTTAGTAGTTCATTCACTTGCAATAAACGTTACTTAAGTAAGTATGCGCGGTGTTTACTTATCGTGGACTATTTCTCTGATGAAACCTCTATTTTCTCTCACAATGCTTTTACAGTCGTGAAAAATCCGGCGTCTGGGTTTCAATTTCCACGAAAAACGCGCTCGATTTTAACGCATCCACTGCCCGTAAGTTGGCATCAAATTCGCAGACAAGATTTATCTCAAGCAAACTTCACGCAACTTTCACAGGCAGCATGAAAAAACTGAAAAAAATTTAAAATTCGAAAAACTGAAAAATAGAAATATCGAGGAACTGAAAAATCAAAAATTCGAAAATCAAAAAATTGAAATATTGAAAAATGGAGAAACCGAAAACTTCGAAATTGAGAAATCTTCAAAAACTGTCCATCGAAAAACTCGTAAAATCGAAAATTGAATAAAAATGAAAATTAAATATCGAAAAATGGGAAAATCAAAAAGCCATTAATGAGAAATAGAAATCGAAAAATTGAAAATTTTAAAACGTCAAAAATTGAAAAATCGGAAAATTTAAGAGTCAAAAAATTGAAAAAACGTGAAACATCAGAAAATTGAGAAAACGAAAAATGAAAAAATATAGAAATGGAAAATTTGAAGAATCGCGGAACTGAAGAATCGAAAAGTTCAAAAATTCTAACACTAAAATACTGAAAAATTGAGTTATGGAAAAACTGAAAAAAATATCGAATAACTGAAAAATACCAAAAATAAAATGTTGAAAAATTGAAAACTTGAAAAATCGAGAAATCTAAAAATTGATCCATCAAGAAAAACCGGTAAAATCGAAAATTGAAAAAGGTAAAATTTAAAAAAACGAAAAATTCAAAAATCAACTAAAGAAAAATAATAAATAAATAATTGAAAAAATGAAAAATCGAGAATTTGAAATTCCAAAACTGAAATGAAAAATTAAAAAATCGAAAAATTTAAAAATCGAAAAACAGAAAAGTCTAAAACCGAGAAGTCGAAAACTGGAAATATGTATTAAGAAATTAAAACATCAAAAAAAAAACAAAAATCTAAAATTTAAAAATTCGAAAAATTGAAAAATAAATATCGGAAGGAATGAAATATCATAAAGCTCAAAAGTGAAAAATCAAGGAAAGCGAGAAATAAAAAAATCTAGAAGTTTAAAACTGAAAATTAAATATCGAAAAATTGAAAAATTGAATTGAAAAGATGAAAAATCCAAACAGTGAAAAGTCTAGAAATCGAAAAACGGGGAAATCAAAAATCCATTAATCGAGAAACAGAAATCGAAAAATTGAAAATTTAAAAACGTCAAAAATAAAAAAAATCAGTCGAAAAATTGAAAAATCATAAAACTGAAATATCAGAAAATTGAGAAATCGAAAAATGGAAAAATCCAGAAATCGGAAATTTGAAGAATCGAGGAACTCAAGAATCGAAAAGTTGAAAAATTCCAACACGAAAATACTGAAATATTGAGTCATCGAAAAATTGAAAATCAAACATCTAAAATTTAAATATTGAATAACTGAAAAATCCCAAAATTGAAATGTTGAAAAATTGAGAAATCGAACACTTGAAAAACCGAGAAATCTAAAAACGGATCCACCAAAAAAATCGTAAAATCTAAAAATTAAAAAAATCGAAAAATGTAAAATTTTAAAAAACGATAAAAATCAAAATAGCAAAAAATTAGAAAATCGACAAATCGAGACATCAGATTTTATATTAAGACCATCGAAAAATTGAAAAATCGAGAAACTGAAAAATCTAAAAATCTAAAAACCGAAAAATCTAAAATCGAGTAGTAGAAAAATCGAGAAATCGAAACGTGATAAAACCGAAAAAATTATAAACTCGAAAAACTGAAAAACAGAAGCATGGAAAAACTGAAAAATCGAAAAATGTAAAATTTAAAAAATCAAAAAATTAAAAAATTAAAAACAGAAAAATCAAAAATTTAAAAATCAGAAAATTGAAGAATTGAAAAAATTAAAAATCGAGATAGTGAAAAATTTCGAATCTGAAATGAAAACTTGAGAAATCGAAAAAATTAAAAATCAAATAATTTTAAAAACCGAAAAATTGAAATTTTTAAAAATCAAATGTTTGAAAAGTCGAAAAATTGAAAAACCGGAAAATCTAAAACCGAGAAGTCGAAAACTGGAAATATCGAAAAATCGAAACATCAAAAAATTAAAAAATCTAAAATTTAAACATCGAAAAATCTAAAATTAAAAAATTGAAAAATAAATACCGAAATGAAGAATGAAATGTAGAAGAACTCAAAAATTAATAATCGAGAAATCAAATAATCTAGAAGTTTGAAAATGAAAAATTAAAAAATCGAAACATCAAAAAAATTTTAAAATATAAAATTTAAACATCGAAAAATTGAATTGAAAAACTGAAAAATTGAATAGAAAAACAAAAGAATCCAAACGTGAAAAGTCCAAATCCAAAAATGGGAAAATCAAAAATCTATTAATCGAGAAATAGAAATCGAAAAATTGAAAATTTAGAAACGTCAAAAATTGAAAAATTGAAAAATTTTATATTAAAAAAATCAATGAATGAAAAAATTGAAAAACTAAAAAATCGAAAAATTTAAAAACCGAAAAATCTAAAATCGAGTAGTAGAATGATAGAAAGATCGAAACGTAAAATTTAAAGAATGGAAAAATTGAAGAACTGAAAAAATGAAAAATCGAGAATTGAAAAATTTCCCAGAGAAATTTAAACCGACAAATCGAAAAATCTAAAACCGACAAGTCGAAAACTCGAAATATTAACAAATGACACAAAACTGAAAAACTGAATTGAAAAACTAAAAAATCCAAACGTGAAAAGTCCAAATTGAAAAATGAGAAAATCAAAAATCTATTAATCGAGAAATAGAAATCGAAAAATTGAAAATTTAACAACGTCAAAAATTGGAAAAATGGAAAATTCTAAGAGTCGAAAAATGAAAAAATCGTAAAACATCAGAAAATTGAGAAATCGAAAAATGAAAAAATCGAGAAATCAGAAATTTGAAGAATGGAAAAATTGAAAAATTCTAACACTAAAAACCGAATAATTGAGTCATGGAAAATTGCAAATCGGAAAATTGAAAAACTGAAAATCGAAAAATTGTCTATAATTTCGATTTTTGTTTTCCAAAAATCAACACGGATTCATAAACCACAAATGGAGAAGAACATTGTGGTAGACAGATGAACACACGGAAAGGGGAGATCTATTTTTTCGTAGTCTGGGAGTCATGAAACATCGAGAAACATTAAATCTTCCTTACGCTCGGAAAGTAAAATGGTAAAAAAAGACGAAAAAATATTAGAAGGGGGACAATCCAGATTCTATTTAAATTAATTTTGCGTCCTCGAACTTCATTTTCAATGGATCTACATTCTGCTACGAGAAATGTGTTGCATAATTTTCAAGAAAGCTAAATGTAAGCTTAATTTTACGTTAAATTAATCCTAAAATTAAGTTTATCGATTGATAAAATTTCAAAGATTTGCATAAAATAGCTTTCAAATTAGTTTGGTAATTCACTTGTACGTATGGAGTTAATTTATTTCGTTTATTTCAGATATTCGGTGATATGACGTCACATGTGACTTTTTTACGCATCTAGAAAGTACTTTGAACTTTGCAGAAAACCTACATTCAATTATCATCTGCGGTCTGAGCTATATGTTATCATTTAAATATTTAGATTCTAGATAGAGGAGAATGAAAAAGTAAAATTCATGTACTTTCCTGTAGCCATTAATTTTTATGAAAATTTTACTGGTCACGGTTCACATTTCAGGTGAGATTTATTCTAAACAACTTAAAGATGAGTAAGCAAATTTTGGTTAGCTCATTAGAGTAGTTTTAAAGTGCACCCAAATAATCAGCTCAGCTGTTCCGTAGATTATTTGTGCAATAAAACCACCCCAACACGAGTTGCATTTTCGTATCTTACAAGCGCCCGAAGTGACACCCAAGCCTTGACTATTTTAGTAGGTCATTCACTTGCAATAAACGTTACTTAAGTAAGTATGCGCGGTGTTTACTTATCGTGGACTATTTCTCTGATGAAACCTCTATTTTCTCTCACAATGCTTTTACAGCCGTGAAAAATCCGGCGTCTGCGTTTTAATTTCCACGAAAAAGGCGCTCGATTATAACGCATCCACTGCATGTAAGTTGGCATCAAATTCGCAAACAAGATTTATCTCAAGCAAACTTCACACAACTTTCACAGGCAGCTGCCGACAATAGTTTGAAACTCACGCAATCTATCGAGCGCTAAAACGCGCCGCTCTCCCTCAAAAACACAAATACTACTCACAAAATCACCACCACACTCCTGCCACCATCGAAAAACCCGACCGAATAAAAAAATCGCCGAACTTTGTAAAAGCGAACGCTTATCGCGGCCGCTTTGTTCCAACTACAGGTAAGAAGGAAACACGTTTCTTATCAGGGGTCATACCTTATCTCTCGCTACGGCTGATATCAATGTGTCATAAGCATAAAGGTCACCATTTACGCACCTACCATTTCGTACCCACGATCCAAACGGCAATCCGACCAGTCGCATGCGACGATCCCACGAAAATTGATAACTCTTCGACGGGGAAAAATTTCGATCGGGCGACGCCTGCGCGCCGCCGCCAGCAGACGAATCAAGTAATCCTGCTGAAAGTTCCGGGAATAATCTCGACGAGCCAGCAGGATTCCCACCCCTGCTATCGATCGCCCGTTTGTTTACCAGAAATATGGTGAAAAATGAGTGAAAACAATGCGAACGACACGCTAGTGATGTTTTTCAAAGTCGTAGTGGTTATCGTGTTCGTGTACCCTTTCCTCCACTACGCCCTCTTCAAAGGCGACGACGTCCAGCCAGCCGAGAACAAAACCGAGCCTGCGACCAACGAAACAGAAGTGCCGATCGAGGTCAAGCCTGTGCCCGTGGTCCGGCAGCCGACATGCCCGGTGTCCTACCTACTCGTGATCCTTCAGGAGCTCTGCACGGATTTGCACTTGCAGCACGAGCAGTGCACTCCTGAGGACTTCTACGACCTGGAGAAGCACAAGCTGCCGAGGAACAACGCCAAGAACACGACGGGGGAGCCGAGGGGGACGATCGTGGGGTGCGTGGCGGCGGGGTTGCTGCTGACGTCGCTGGGGGCGGCGTTCCTGGAATTGTACAAGGCGAAGAGTCACACTCCGGTCAAGAACACGAAGCCTATGATCAGCAGGAAGTGCTCGTTGGCCGATTTGACTGTTTTGAAGCACAACAGAAAAGAGTTGGTGAGGAGGGAGTCCATTATGGAGATTCCGGAGACTGGGGGCACTTTAAAACCACTGGGTAGGAAGGTGTCGAGACCACCTTTGCGTTTAGATTAAGGTAGCGCACTTGGTGGTGTGTTTGTTGTGTTTTCTTGATGTTGATATTTTTAGGGTGTTTATGTGATATAGTTTTAAGGCGGGAATGTTTTGAGGTATTTGTGTTTTTTTGATGTTGTTTTTGCTGGTTTTTCTTTTCCCGATAATAAAACTAGCGTTGAACGGGAGGGTTTTTGTGATACCTGTCCAAATTAGTGGTATTTAGTGATATGCTTTTCCTATAAATTATCATTATCACACACAAAAATTTAAAAAAAAATTGTAGGTTGGTAACATGTTTCTAACTAATTAATTAATGTCGTAATACTAGAAGGTCGCGCCCTTTAGGTGACAAACATTAGAGCTGATTAAATTCATAAGACAGATAGCGACTTTCGATAATTTAATTGATAATATTCATTATCTGTTATTACGTGTTTAAATATCAAATATTTCTTAAAAACAAACTACACTCATTTCGCAAAAAATATATAAAATTTTGTTTAATATATTGTAATACACATATTATGTGAGTTGACACATTAATGATAATGTGTCCATTTATATTTCGACTAATTATAATGTAGTAATTTAAAAATGTTACGCTCTTTATGTGTTGAACAATGGAACAAACTAAACAATTAATTTTTTAGAGAAAATAATAATTATGTTTTTCATCCTCTAGTTGAGATAGTAACCAGCAAACAAAATTATTTTTTACGTATCTGGTATCATTCTGAATAATGTCCCAAATTAATCTTATTTTTAAAATTCCACGAAACCATCAAATTTTTATGCGTAACACCGAGATTATACAAGAGATAACAACGATTTATTCATCCCCCCAGTAAATTGGTGACGTCATCTCATTTTGCATGGATTGCCTCGAAACGATTTTACATAATAATGTCATTTCTGCTTGTTTTTCTTTATCATTGAATTTGGAATTAACGCACCTTGAGAACTAATACAGACTATTTAATAACTTAAACTACATCTTCACTACAAATCAGTCTATTAATTTTTGATAAAAAAAAGGACAAATATTTATCGTCTGGCATCAACAACAGAAATTTCCACCTGATCTTTATTAAAAAAATATGTACGTACTACTATCAGATAAAAATGAACGACTGCTGAAAATTATACAGTTGAAAATCATATCTAATCTTCGTGCATGTTCAGGTAAATTAAAAATATTTCCCTGCGGCGCGGGCAACAAAGTTTTATTATGCATTGCTTTTACGTTTTCTCGACCTTTCGTGACCCCTAGAGTTCGAAGAAATGGATTTCCCGTTTTCGTCTGTCTGTCTGCCGTCCGGATTTTTATTAAACAGATAATCTCCGAAAGTACTGAGCCGATTGTTGTCAAATATTGTATTTATATTAGAAATATCATGTAGATGGTCAAACGCTGACCAAATTGTTTCTAATCATCCCCATGAACGACGTGATAACATCCCCTCAAATGTTTTCATAATTAGTGGGGTTTAAATTTTTAAAATAACATACTTGTGGACTTTATGACTCTGTTTTCAAATTTTTTCCGAGGGATTATAAGGCGAATTCTTCTTTTAGTTTTTCAATACTTTAATCTCTCGATTTTTCAATTTTTCGATTTCCTAATTTTTTCAGTTTTGGGATTTTTCAATTTGTCTTCGATTTTTCAATTTTCCGATATTTAGACTTTTTACTTATTGGATTTCCAGATATTGTACATTTTCGATTTTTCAATTTTTCGACTTTTTCTATATTTTATTTTACAATTTTAGATCTTTTGATTTTTCAGTTCTTGAATATTTCTATTTCTTAATTTTTCGAATTTTTATATTTTAGATTTTTCAGTTTTTTGATGTTCTGATTTTTCAATTTCACAGTCTTACATTTTTCGATTTTTCAGTTTTCGATTTTTAAAATTTTTGATTTTTCGATTCAACTTTTTGATTTTTCAGTTTTTCGATTTTTCGTTTTTTATACTTTTAAATCTTTGATTTTTCAATTTTTAACTTTAAATTTTGGGTTATTTCGATTTCTCGACTTTTCTACTTTTCGACTTTTCAAAATTTCCACTTCTCTGTTTCAGTTTCTCATTTTTTTAATGTTACGGTTTTTTGATTTTTAAATTTTTCAATTTTTCAGTTTTCCGATTTCCCAATTATTCGTTACTTCACTTTTGGAATTTTCGATTTCTAGATTTTTCGGGTTTTTGATTATTCGTACTTTCAATTTATCGACTTTTTAAATTCAGATTTTTGAACTTTTTGTAATTTTTGATTTTCAATTTTTCGATTTTTGACTATTTCGATTTCCTGATTTTTTTATTTCTCGATTTTTCAATTTTTCGACTCCTCTATATATCATTTTTTCAATTTTTTGATGTTTTGATTTCTCGGTTTTTTGATTTTTCGCCTTTTTGATTTTTCAGTTTTTAGATTTCCCAAGTTTCGTCTTTTCAGTTTTGGAATTTTTCGATGGATAGATTTTTTTTGATTTAGCAATTTTTGTTTTTTTTTTTTAATTTTTCGATATCTTGATATATGAACTTTTTTAATTTTAGATTTTTACATTTTTTGTAATTTTTAATTTTCAATTTTTCAAGTTTTCGATTTTTCGATTTTGGACTACTTCGATTTCCTGATTTTTCTACTTCTCAACTTTTCGATGTTTTGATTTCTCGGTTTTTCGATTTTTCGACTTTTCGATTTTTCAGGTTTTAGATTTCCCAAGTTTTAGTTTTCGAATTTTTCAATTTCCCAAATTTTCTGTTTTTCGATTCTCCACTTTTCCACTTTTTCAATTTTTCGGTTTTTTGATTTTCCGGTTTCTCGATTTTTTCATTTTCGATTTTTAAATTTTAGATTTTTCAATTTTTTGATGTTTCGATTTCTCGATCTCTCGATTTTTCGGTTTTTACACTTTTAAATTTTTGATTTTTCGATTGTTATTTTTTCGATTTTTCGATTTTGGGCTATTTCGACTTATCGACTTTTCAAATTCCCAATTTCTCTGAGTTTTCAATTTGTCTTTGATTTTTCAATTTTTCGATATTTAGACTTTTTACTTATACGATTTCTAGATTTTGTACATTTTCGATTTTTCGATTTTTCAATTTTTCGACATTTTCTATATTTTTTTTTACAATTTTAGATATTTCGATTTCTCGATATTTCAGTTCTTGAATATTTCTATTTCTTTTTCGGTTTTTCAGTTTTCGAGTTTTAAAATTTTTAATTTTTCGATTCTTCAAATTTTTGGTTTTTGAGTATTTCGATTTTTCGTTTTTCATACTTTTAAATTTTTTATTATTCAATTTTTAACTTTAAATTTTGGGTTATTTTGATTTCTCGACTTTTCTACTTCTCGACTTTTCAAAATCCCCACTTCTCTGTTTCAGTTTCTCATTTTTTTTAATGTTACAGTTTTTTAATTTCTCGCTTTTTCGAAGTTTTGGTTTTTCGAGTTTTAGATTTTTCGATTTTTCAGTTTTCCGATTTCCCAATTATTCGTCACTTCAGTTTTAGAATTTTTCGATTTCTAGAATTTTCGGTTTTTTGGTTTTTCATTTTTTCGATTTATCGACTTTTTAGTTTTAGATTTTTAAACTTTTTGTAATTTTTGGTTTTCAATTTTTCGATTTTTGACTATTTCGATTTCCTGATTTTTCAACTTATCGACTTTTCCATTTCTCGATTTCTCCATATTTCATTTTTTCAATTTTTCGATGTTTTGATTTTTCGATGTTTTGATTTCTCGGTTTTTTGATTTTTCGCCTTTTCGATTTTTCAGTTTTTAGATTTCCCAAGTTTCGTCTTTTCAGTTTTGGAATTTTTCGATTGCTAGATTTTTTTTTGATTTAGCAATTTTTGTTTTTTTTTTTCAATTTTTCGATATATTGGTATATCAACTTTTTTAATTTTAGATGTTTGTATTTTTTGTAATTTTTAATTTTGAATTTTTCAAGTTTCCGATTTTTAGATTTTGGACTATTTCGATTTCCTGATTTTTCGACTTCTCAACTTTTCGATGTTTTGATTTCTCGGTTTATCGATTTTTCAATTTCTCAAATTTTCTGTTTTTCGATTCTCCACTTTTCCACTTTTTCAATTTTTCAGTTTTTTGATTTTCCGGTTTCTCGATTTTTTCATTTTCGATTTTTAAATTTTAGATTTTTCAATTTTTTGATGTTTCGGTTTCTCGATCTCTCGATTTTTCGGTTTTTACACTTTTAAATTTTTGATTTTTCGATTTTTTAATTTTCCATTTTTCGATTTTTTGATGTTTCGGTTTCTTGACATCTTAGTTTCTCGATTTTTCAAGTTTTCGATTCCTCAATTTTTTAACATTTCAATTTTTTTATAATAAAACATACAGGCCGAAGATTCATTCATAGTCTTTAAAAAAGATTCTAGAGGTTCCCAAGCTTCTCTCAAAACCTTTCAAGAATAGAACTTCAGGTGCCTGAAGATTCTTTCAAATTCCCAAAAAAGACACTAGGGGGTTCTAAAATTCTTACAAAATTTTTCAAAAAAATCAAACATTAAGCGCCGCAGATTCTTTCAAACATTGTTATCCCAAGATTCTTTCAAAATATTTAAAACAAGACACTCGGTGCCCTCAAACTTTTTCAAAAACAAAAAATCGGGAGTTGTGAAATTTTTTGTATTTTTTTTTTATGAAACCAAAAGGCCTTGAAGTTGCTTTCACATTTTTAAAAAAGACCATCATAGTTGTCCAAAAGATTCTTTACAATTTTTAGAAATAAAGACATTATGGATCCCCAAGACTCTTCTGCATTCTTAAAGATACTAGGGACTTCCACACTCTTTAAAACAAGAAGTAAAAAGACTTTGGGGCCCCAAGATTCTTTCAAATTCTTGAAAAAGACACTAGGAATCCACAATCTTAAAAAAAAAATAGTAAGGACCGTAAGATTCTTTGAAATCTTAAAAAAAAACACCCAGGGTGTTCTAAGATTCATCCAAA